TGGAGGGTTGAGGGGGAGGGAGAGGGCTTGCAGGGTATATACCCTTTTGTTGGTTGATGATGCATGGATGGAGGGGATTGTAACCATGACAATGAAATGATATATGATATGATAAGATGAATGTAAAGCTAATCTTCTCCCATGTAAACTATCGCATAATTCACAATAAAACATTTTTTAAAAATGTGTTTGCCCAACTTGTTTTAGAAATATTGTCTTAGGTAAGTTGTATTAAGAGATAATAAATGAATGTGGGACAAGAAATTGATGTTAGGAAAGTTCGTAATTTGACACAGGACTCCAAACCAGTTCAGCTATTGTCATTGTAAATAAAAGCTGCTGCCTATGGTATTTTGACCCTGTTGTTGTTAATGGCCATTGAGTCGCTCCGACTCATAGCGACCCTGTATAGGGTTTCTGAGGAGCAGCTGGTGAGATCGAACCACCGACTTTATACTTCAAACTGATGTTGCAGTACAGTGCATTAACCCGCTATGCCCTGCTCAAAGATGGCAATCAACTGCATCACTTTGAATGTGAGACTTCCAGACTTTCAAGATTTCTGTCAATAAACCAATCTCCCACATCAGGCTCATGAATCTTTTAGGAGGAAGGACTGTGACCTGACTTTTAGAGCACAATGAGTGCTATGGAACCCAGACTCTCATAGAAGGCGATTCCTGGGTCCAGGCACGTCTCGTAGTTTGGGACTGGTCTGCGCTGGCTGTTCTCAGTGTGTTGTCCCAACTACAGGCTGCTCTTGCACCCAGCTGTGCTGACTGTAAACAACACCCCACTCCAGCAGACTTGGCTGGTACCCTCACGGTTCTCTTGTGTTTGAGGGTGGAGGAAGGGTTGTTGTCTCCAAAACCATACTAGCTTTAACAACAGCTTAAACTCATACTAAAACACCATTTTACTCAGGTTCCTCATAGCAAATCTGGGAGTGGAGTCTGTGTGTGTGGCATCTTCATTATCTTTGTTTATGGATGAGGAAACTAAATTTCCAGAGGTTTCCCTCTCCATCTCAAAATCCCAGGCCCAACAGAGTCCTCTGAGAGGGGCAGAGAACCTTTTAGCTCCACCCTGGAGAAGTCTGTGGGTACCAGGGGCAGACCCGCTGGTCCTTCAGTCCAGGGACCAGGGACAGTGGGGGTGAAATGGGTTTCAGGATCCAAATCTAAATGAAGGAACAATAATGAATTCCTTCTGGGCATTTTCAGTGTGAGTTACAGTTGGCTGCCATGTGAATCATTAACTCACAGAATACACAAAACAACCCTAGTAGGTAGGTAGACCCTAATAAGAGCATTTTACAGATGGAACAATTGAGGCTTAGAGAGATTAAGTTGCTCATAACTGGCAGAGCCAAGATGTGAACCCAGGCAATTTGACTCCAGAGTCTACAGCTGACCCTCTATACTGAGGCTCACTAGTTTATTTATTTATAATCCCACAACCATCTACTTGAAGATATCATATTCTTAAGCTTGGGAGCAGGAGAGACAGAAAAAAAGCACTTTCTTACAAGGAGAACTGGGGTTCTGGACAGACTAAATAGCAGAGGGACAAGATGGGAGGTGAGGGTGTGGTGAGGAGGGTGAGGATTGGGGAGAATTTGATCCTTGTCCTGAGGTTCTGGAGCCCTGGGATCTTCATTTAAGTCTGCCACTGACTCACTGTGTGATGCTAAGCAAAGCCCTACCATCTCTGGGTCCGAGTTTCACCATCATACCAGGAGGAGGGTGGACTGACTTTTGAGAGCCCCAAGGATGCCATGGGGGCTACATGTGAGGTGGTTGCTGGGAGGATGGAACTGGCCAACCAAATTGGGGTGGGGGGAGACAAGTTATACTTTCATCTGAGTTTAAATAGCAGGTTTAGGAAAAAAGGTCTGAAGGAGGAGACCTTTAAAAATGGGGAGGCTCTTAGGTTCTTTGTGCCCTCAGGGACTCTGAAACCTCTCACAGTGGAGCATCTTTTCAACTCCTCCTGCTTTATTCAGGCTCACGCCCACCCCTAAAGCGGTAAGATGTGGGACTTCCCATTCCCTGCGGGAACTGCCAAAGGTGAGGAAGGGGTGTCCCTGGGGGAGGGGCTGCCTCTACTCCCTGGTGGTGGGAGGAGACTGGTCCAGGCTGATCCAGCAAAGGCCTCAGTTTTAGAGGCACTGACAGGTATTCAAATCCAAGCGGGGCCACTTCCATGCTCAGTGATCTTGGGCCAGTTGTTTGGTTTCTCTGAAGCTCCTCTTCTGTAAAGGAAAACAGTACCTGTCTTGTGAAATTGCTGCGGGGACAACAGTGTGCAGAGCATACACTAGGCACACTCAATGAATGGGGCTGCTATAATTATTCTTCCCCGGGCCGGGATCCTGGCGCCGGACAGCAGACAGGTCTATATTTAGCCTGGAAGGGGTGGGGGCGCTAGGAGACAAAGCACAGCTACCAACCCAGGCGCCCAGAGGGCGGAGCCGATGAATGACCGGCCCGCCCTCCTTTTCCACGGGGTCACCTTGGCTGGGGTGGCGGCTGCAGCCTCCCTCTAATCTAATGTGCAGGTCCCCAGCAACCATTCGACCCCTCTACACAGCTTCCACGTCCCCAAAACGAGATCTGGGGAGGCGGCTGCTGAAGCCTGAGAGTAGGAGGTATTCAGCTCACTGGCTACTTAGAAAGCTTTCCCTTCCCCAGGCCAAGACCCCGCCCCGAGAGAGGGGCTTCATTGGGGTGGGGCGCTGAGGTGAGCCTGACCCCAGGCTGAAGCCTCGTCTGGTCCCTCCTCCCTCGGCGGGGCAGATGAGTGTTGGACTGCAAATAGCCCAGTGGAATCAGTGAGTCACGGAGGCTGGAAATACCGCTCCCCTTTTCCCCTCCCCTCCTTGTGTTCAAGCCCAAAGCACTGGGCAGCACCTTCCGGTGTGCTAGGTGTGGGTATCTCCCTAGAGAGGTGCCCCGAACCAGCCAGGTTCCAGCTGGCTCTGTCTCTGAGCTGTGGGTGTGCAACTCAGCCCCTTTGGGCCTCAGAGCCCCCATCTAGTACAAGATAGGCTTCAAGAGGGGACCTGGTGCAGCCTGTTCATCTTCCTGTCCCATTGCCTGAATAATGAATAAAAGCAATGTTGGAGAAGTTGCTGCAAGCTTTTCCTTTTGAAATAATACCCAGGTGGATTTGGGAAATCACAAGGAAACCACATTTTGGTGAAATCACAAGGGGACACCCACATTTTTGTGAAGTCTTGAGCTTTAACTTGAGCTCCCACCAGCACCCCAAAATTTGAGGGTGCCACTCTGTTCATGGAAGATGTATCTTCTCATCCTGAGGTTCTCCATTTGGCTGTTCTAGCCCCATCCCAAGTTTGAGGACCTGAGGCAGGTGGTCGTCCAAAGCCTGTGATTCTGCCATTATCCAAGAAGCCCAGTACCAATACCCTGCCCTGCCCCCATTCTCCTCCAAAGGCCCCAAATGGCAGGGGTGAGGGACCACCTGTACAGAACTCCAACCTAAGAGGCAAAAAGGACAGAGCCTGATGCTGCCTCTTGGTTGTAAACCTAATTAACCTTCCCCGGCTTCCTGGTGTGGGTTAATGGGCTGGACTGCAAGGTCGATGGTTCAAGCTCACCAGCTGCTCCTCAGAAATCCTATTCAAGGTCAGTATGACTCAATGGCCCTTAACAACAACAATTGCTCAACTACTTCCTGCAGTGAAAGTAGGAAATGGAGCCTGGGTCACTGGGAACAGTGGGGATCCTGAGGTTAAGGATGATGGAGGTTTCTGTCTTAGATCCAGGACTGGGAGGAAACTGGTGTGGCCTCTTCCTAAGATTCCCCACTCCTCCATCCCTTAGCAGGAAGATGTGGGGGCAGACTGAAGGGAAATACTCCCCAGTGCACATAGATGGAGAGCAACTTCTGATGTCCTGGGTTCAAAATCAACCTTCAGTGAGAAAGCCAGAAAGACAGGTACTCAACCACTCAAGAGACTGTTTCCTTCTTGATAAAATGGAGATTGTAAAGCTGAATTTGACTTCAACCAATGGACACAGCTTGGTATTTGAAGGACAATGGATGGGGGTGTATGTGTGTTCAGTATTTACACACCAAGTCTATAAAGTCATAGATTGACGAAGGGGAAGGATGGGGGAGGCACCTGGTCAGTGAGAAAGGGTAGCAAGAAGCTAGGTCCAACCTTTAAAATGGAAAGTCCCATTTATAGTTTCTTCTACCCTCTGTCTGGTGATCCAGTGGAGCAGACATGGGGGGGGGGCGGTGAGGGCGGAGGACCAGTCCCACCCTCACCCCAGTAGGTAACAGACAGCAGGAGCTACACACATTTTAGCATGAACCAGCTGTATTGGAAAAACCCCATCTATATACAGACACTATGTGGCCATGCCCTGGCACAGTTGGTTGGCTGGGGAATGGACCCCAGGGGCTTGGGAGTACCAGGGTGAGCAGGCAGTCTGCCAGCTGGTTTGGGGCTTGGAGAGCAGGAGAAGGAAGGTTCACCTTCACAGCTGTCTGGTTTGGCCTCCCCATGCCCTCGGGCAGCTTCACTTGAGATGGGCACCTCTAAGCTCTATCTCCACCTCTCCCCTCCCTTTGGCCAAGGAGTCATAGATCCTGGGACCCCTTGCCCCTGCCCTGCAGAGACTCTATAAATCAAAGGATGTGTCTGTCTGTCCCGCAGATTATTTACCCAGAGGTCTTGCCTGACCCTCCTCCCCGCAAAGTGGCTTCTCTGGGATCCCTCTTTCCCTATCCCAACCCTTCTATTATGGATTAAACGAAGAGAGTCATATCTGGAACCTGGGGGCTCTAGGTGAGGCAAGGGGGTCCCATGCCTGCCTTGGGCAGAGTAGAAGGCCCTAATTTGGGGGGATGACCCACCTGGGGCCAGGAAGGTGTCAGAGCCTGGAAGGTGGGCTGATATGGGGAGGGGGTTGTGGTGGAGAGGAAGACTTGTCTGGCAGGCCAGTGGGGAGGCCAGTGGAGGGCCCTCAGATTTTTATCTCTGTCCGGAAAGTCTGCTGGACATGCTCTGTGTGCGGGTGGCGCCGAGCTCGGATAGTGAGGCTACCGTCTTCCCTCAGAGCCGAGGTCACCGACGTGGGATCCACATCCTCAGGCAGCTGGCACTTGTGGGCGAAGGTGTTCATGACTGTGCCATCGGCCGCCAGCTGGGGAAGGGAGGTAGGTCAGGGCAGGATGTCCCCACCCCTGTCCTGGGTTTCTCAAGCCTTACAGCCTCTTTAGAGGTCCCTTCTCAGCTCAGCCCAGCCCTCACAGGCAGAGAGGCTCTGCTTGCAGGGGTAGAGACTACTCAGAGGGGCTGGTCAGGGTAGAGATGGACACAGACCACAGCCTAAGCAAGCAGAGGCACGGAGGCGCTCAGATGAACTCAGATAGCTCCAAGCGGTAGGCAAGGGGCTTGGTGAGGGAGGGGCTCAGTGTCAGTGGCTGGGAATCGGGGGCCTCTGAACGATGCAGGAGAGGATGACAAAGATGAAAGCTGTATCCTCTGGAACACCCAGACACATTGAGTGTCCCCCATCATGGGCTGGGCTAATGGCCCCTCCCCCACAGTTTGGCCAGCACATAGTGTCCAGAGGAGTTTGAGGCGGCTGAGTCACTGCAGGGGGTGGCAGAGCTGGCACGTGCTGCCTGGTGATGTTGGTGCCCACAGTCCTTGGCTCCCCTGGCCCAGGACTCCAGCCTTGCTCTCTTTGCTCTCACTGGAGGAAGCCAGGCCCTGGGGATCAGGAGGGAGTCTTTGGCAGATCCTCCTCCCACTGAGTACCTGTGGCCCTTCACTTGGGCAACATCTCTGGTCAGGCCTGGTCACACCCTCCTCCTGGCTAGAAGCCCCAGACTCAGAGACCCTAGTGACCCAGTGACCCTGGACCCCGTTGGTGGGGGAGGGAATATAGGTTTTAAAGCCAGCCTTGGGCTGGATTCAGCGGTCCCAGAATGGGGCTGAGCTTCTGGCCCCAGGAGGAATGAGAGTTTGAAGCTCTGGCAGGGGGAACTTCCTCTCTGTACCCCTGCCTCCCACCCCCCAGGAGTTGTTCTTCCTCACCACCCCAATCTCCCTCCTCTCGCCTGCACCTCAGACCTCGGTTCTTATGGGTATGAAGAAAGCACAGTGGGGACGTTGAGAGCAGAGGGTACACTAGGCAGCCCATAAGGAGCTAGGAGTTCAGAGTCTAGGTTCAGGATGGGGTGGAGGCCAGGCTCACCTTTTCAGCCCGAACTTCGATGTGGTTGTTAGAGGTGGTGACAATGATGTCTTCAGGTGAGAAGTCACTCACATCTACTGCAAACTCATAGGCATCTCCAAGGGTCTTGATGTTCCCTGGCCCCCCAGGACGGGCTGTGGGCAAGGCTGCTGTGAGCTGGACGTCGGGGGAGGGCTTGCTTCCTGAACCTGGGTTTCCCGGCTTGGCCTCCTCTTCAACTGTTGCCCCTAATGCCCTCTGTGCCCCTCTCACCTCTTACAGCCCACCTTTTCCTTCAGAGGGATGGAGCCTCACCCCAACATGACTCAGGCAGGCCACTCCAGGCCTGGAGGCTGGGGGGTGCCTCCTACCCTTTAACCCCACCCAGTCTCTCAGGGTTTCAGCTAGGACCCGGTCACAATTACAGCAACACCTGGCCATTGGAGCCATGTATGAGCCCAGGGTCACAGCTGTCTTGGAGTCCCATCTGTGTTCACAGCAACATCTGTCCTAGTGGCCACATGGCTCTGCCCACATTCGATGGAGCCTTAGAGAATTATGCCCCCTACCTGTGTGTCGGCCCTTCCATCAGAGTCCCCAGCACTTGCCTGGGAAGGCCAGGGGCTCCGAGTGGGGCCGCATGAAGCTGCCGAAATCCTCAGAAAACATGCTCAGGGCCTTCTCCATGGGTGGGTCTTGGGCTGGGAGGGCACGGGAGGCCGAAGAGGAAGAAGAGGAGGAGGAGGAAGAGGAGTGGAAGCTTCTCTCCGCTCTGAAGGTGGAGGAGGTCCTGTGGCTCATCCACGGGTAAGTGGCCGGCCCTGTCCAGACGGGCAGGGGGTGCTCAGGGAGGGATGTGGGCAGCAGGACTCTGGGGGAGCTTGCCGGAGCCCGACTGCTGGCTCTTTATAAGGCCCGACTGCCCCTGGGCTCCAGGCCAGCCCCTTGTCTATTAGCTAAATTTAGGCCTCTCTGTGGCCCGGAGGGGGCTGGAACGCTTCTTCACCGAGACAGCCCTGCTGACAGGCAATGCACACAGGCCGCCCACCGGCTGAGCTCACCGCTGGGCTGGCCCGGCATTCCAGGCTGCTAACACCAGCCCAGGGGCCTCTGCACCACTGGGGGTGGGGGTGGGGAGCTAGATTCTGTCCTCTTGCACTCTGACCCCCAGGCCTGCCTTCCAACCTGTGTGCTTGGTGGATTGCAGTTCTCCAAGGGGTTAGCCTCTGCCTTCCATCATCCCGTGGCTGTGTCTCCCCCATGAGACTCTGGTTACCCAAGAGAATTGTGCCTCCTCTGTCAGACTATAAGCTTTTTGAGAACAGGGCTTTATTTCCTGTCCCCTCTCCTCGGAAGTTTCAGTCCTTGGTGAGGGGAGGGGATCTGGGTGGTGGGGATCTTGACCTCTGCTGGACCCAGCGTGAGGTGAGGGACTGTTCCCCTCAAGGCAGATGATGTTTACTGCCCATCTCTTAGGAAAGTCTGCAGCAGCCCTGGGGGGCTGTGTGTGTGGGGGTAGAATGTGCAGCTGTCCCCCTGCCAGCTCCCATGGGGACCGGATTCCATGCTTGCTGTCTCCCTTCTGACTTGGAGGGAACATTTAGGGGCCAGAGAGGAGGGAGCTGGCAGTATGAGGCAAGGTTGGGGGTTGTCTTAAAGATCTAGAATGTTGTACACCCAGGACACTGTCTGCTTGACCTTCATCTCAGAGGGGATACCTGAGACTGTGGCAGGTGGGACTCAAGTTAGTGGAAAAAAGGTTTCTGGACCACAATATTCTCACTCTGACTTCTGCATGTCCTTGAGCTCTAGCTCCTGGCTGTGCTTTTTATCAGCATGGTCTCATCTGATGGCCGCACAGCTTGGGAAGACAGAGGCACGGTTTCCATTTATAAACAGAGAAATGGGGCTTCCTAGAAACTGAGGGACTTGCATAGGTCTCACGGGCAGAGTTAGGATTCAAACCCAGAGGTGTCCAAACTCAAGCTTTGGACATGGAGTATCTTCTGGAGGCTGGGGTGACTTGAATATATATGTATGGGGATGTGTATGGATGATGCTTAGGTGGTTCTCTCCATCTACCACCTGCTCAACAGAACCCGGGGGGAATCAATAAGAGAACTTAGGCCATTTTATCCTGACTGAGTGACCTCCTGCTCTCCTCTCCAAATCCTGCCCTTGCTTCTCAGATTAGTTCAAGGCCTTCCTCCTCCGTGGAGGCCCCTTGGATTGTTCCTGCTACCCAGGGAACCCCTGCCCAGAAGCCCACCCCCAGGCCTGGTAGTGTGACACAGACTTCCTGGGTTCTATGATTTCCTGGCTGTGTCTTCTCTCCCCTTATCACACTAGGAATTCCTCAGAGACAGGGGTTAGTCGGTCTCCCCATTACACTGGGGGCTCCTAAAAGTGGAGACTGTCCCTCTTCCCTCCAGCACCCGGAGTCCAGTATTATTGTTGCGGGGGTGCTGTGTTAGCAGGGTTAATTGCTGAGGCTACTGGTACATGAGGCTAGGAGTCCTGGTGTGGCTCTGTGGGATAAAGCACTGGACCACAAGGTTAGTGGTTCAAACTCATCAGACACTCCTTGGAAACCCTATAGGGTTGCTATGAGTTGGCAATTAATAACAGAGGTACAAAAACTTGGAACAGGGCAGGGTACAAGGCATAGGCTGAGCTGCATGCAGGGCAAGGTGGTGGCAGGAGCAAGAGGGGTCTGTCACCTCCACTAGAGGTTGGACTGGCCTGTGTCACCCATCTGACTAAGGGGGTTCTAGTCTGGCTTTCAGGCAGTTTCCCCCCAGCACTTAGGTGCCCAGAAAGAGGGTGGGGTGCCCAGAAGGCAGCCACTCGCCAGGGAAACAGGAGCCAGTGGCTAAATGCAGACACACTGTCATGGTGCTGAGGGCCTGAGTCACAGCTCCTGGATGTCAGATCCCATTACCCACCCCCACCCACCAGTCCTCCCCCTTCTCCATCCCTGAGGCTGCACATAAAAAGGAGTCTCCGGGTTCAAAAGGTCGTTAAGGCCATTCCCTTGTCTCCCTTCAAATCACAGGAAGCTGAAGAAGTTTTGGAGAGATCCCACTCCATTGGTTCTTCCCAAACCTTCCAGGGCATCCCAGCTGCCTGCGGGGAGGAGCTTTTAACAAACATAGACTCTCCACTCCCACCCCTACCCCCTGCGCCTTGAAATTCTGATGGAAAGGACTTGGGGGGAGGACCAGGGGCTGGTTTCCATCAGCTCCCACACAGCAAGTTCATTGGCCAGAGTTTGGATATCTATTGAACGTCTACTATGTGCCAGGGACTATTTTAGGCTCTGGGGACTAGGGCAGCTCTAGACCCCTTCCCCCATGGCTCCCAGGGTCCCCACATTGGACAGAAGAGGAACTAAAGTTCTGAGAGGGCCAAGGATCAGTCAGGGGAGGAAGAGCAGCTCTGTCTCCCAGCTTGCTCTCCCCCTGCTGAGCTATCTCCTCTCCAGTTGCTGAGTGCTTCACATGGAAAGGAGGGATATTGGGGAAATGGCTCTGAGAGAGGCTTGTCCTGAGCCCCAGGCCCCCTGGAAGCCATCTTCTCAGTCTCCTGGTGCTCACAGGGCCGGGGAGTGAGGATGTGGGTATGGAGTGCCGGCAGGCTCACTGATGCTAGTTGCAGGATTGTGGACTGCCTAAAGTCAGAGGCTGGGGTTTGGGATGTCAACAAGGCAGCCAGTTATCCTGTTACTATAAACAGCCATCAGGTTGGGCCACCAGGGCAAGGGTGGGCCTAGGTCCACCCAGATAAGAAAGCCCTCCGTCCATACCTACCCCACCCCCAACACACACACATGCGCACATACTCCTATTTTAAATTGATGACTTGGCCTGGCATCTAGGGGCTGGGGGTGGCTCAGGTTCCCAGATTTTCACAAGTCATTAAAAGGTCATCATAATTCCCAGAGAAGGGATCTGTCTTGGAGGGAAGGGGCAGGCAATGAATCTCTTGCCCAAGTCTCCCAAGTGTGGCATCAGACACTAATCCTCTGCTTTGTACCTAAACCATTACCCTGAAGATTAAGCCACAGGAGTTTGGGGAGAAAATCCTCATCGTTCAGATGAGTTCAACCTCTGTTACATGACCTCTGATGAGAAACAGTACCTCTCTGATTCTCCAGTTACCATTTGCAGAATAGTGATGCTATCCCCAACTCACAATGGTGAAGCAAATGTAAAGTGTCTGGCATGGAACTGGCAACATGTTTTTGTTCCCTTGATATGTCCCTTTGATGCCCATGCTCCCACCCTCTGTTGGGGTGGGAGAGTCTGGCATTTACCAGAAAATCCCCAGCCAGAGCCACCATCCCTTGGGAGTTGCTATTTGAGAGGCAGTTTTCAAGGATGGCAAGTCCCTGGGTGGAACAAATAGCTGCTAATCTAAAATTGGAGGTCTGACACTGGAAAGGGAGAGAAAGGAATAGCCAGAAATATCACCATGGAAAGCTTGTAAGCCCATCTTCTGCCTATAACTGATTGGAATACCTAAAATGGGGCTACAATGTGTCCAGTGAAGGAGGTTTCCTGAGGAGCCTCTGCATTACATGGGAGTATAGGTGGAAGCCCAAATCACATCCAGACCTTCAGAGACGGGAAATTTTCCACTTGAAAGGACAAGCAGACCAGCCGGGAGCAGCTAGAAAACCAGAAGATACCTCTTGAAAGAAGGACCTACAGGAAAAATACAAAACAATAAGGGCAGTCTGACTGTTACCACAAGAACATGCAGGTTGCTTGCCCAGGAGACATCAAGGCAAGTGGTCGGGTCCTCTCAGTGCAAATTCTCTTCCAAAACTAAGACTCAAGGGAAATATATGCTTTGATTGGCAACCATGCATGTCACCCAGAAGGGGAAGTGACCGAAGAACATCAATGAAGTGGCGAGCTAAGCCCTACATCATTCAGCAAACTACTGTGAACCCGGGTGGAGACCTGGTCAGCCAGCAGTGAGACAAGACCTGGGGACTCATGGGCTCAGAGTCAATGACACAGCCACATAGGACTAGAATGGAGAGTGGGGCTGCCAGCCAATAAAAAGAGGGCAGACAGACGCAAGAACACCCACACTTGCAGATGATACCCACTTGACCTGGCTTCAATGACTGGATGAACAGAGCTCAACCCGAAGAAGAAAGAAGAGGAAAAAAGTGTCATCTGATACAATTCGATAAACATGACCTACACTTATAAATGCAGTAGCTCAAAAGAGGAAACAAATCCTGGCTGCAAGAACTATTCCCACCCCCTCCACACAAAGGGTAGACAGGGATGGGCAACTTGGACATTGGCTACCCAAAATCGGGGGAGGGATACAAAGGTAAGAAGTGACTGGCTTACAAGCTTTCAAGAGGGAACCTAGATCCAAAGGGTGTGGAGGAAGGTAGAGTCTCCAGTGAATAGTATCCAGCCTGTCCAGGAAGGGCTGATGAAACGAAATACAGATGGCTCTCTTGTGATGCAATAGTGAATAATTGTTATCAGGACTGATTGTGAGGGTTGGAAATCTAAAGGTGGACATTTTGCAGCAAGGAGGGGAGTGATTAACTTTTCAGTCTAAGAGTGGAGGACCCTAGGACCATCAATGGAGAAAAGCGGAGAGTGGGATCCTACCCAGAGAAGCAGTGAGGCCTGAGATGGAAGCAGAGAAGACGACGTCAAGAGATGGTGTGACTTGACCTATACCTACGAATGCAATGACTCAAAAGAGGCAATAAATCCTTACAGCAAGAAACATTCTCACCCCCTCCACACACAGAGTAGACAGAGATGGGCAACTTGGACATTGGATACCCAAATGGGGAGGGGGGGACTACAAAGGCAAGAAGTGACTGGCTTACAAGCTTTCAAGAGGGAACCTAGAGCTAGGGGGCATGTAGGAAGGCAGAATCACCAGTGAGTACTATCCAATCTGTCTAGGCGGAGCTGATGAAATGAAATACAAATGGGTAACTCGCGATACTGTAGTAAATAATGGTTATCAAGACTGATTGTGAGGGTTGGAAATGCAAAGGTAGACGTTTTGTAGCAAGGAAGGGAGTGATTATTTCTCCAGTCTAGGAGCAGAGGTCTCTGGGATCATCAACGGAGAAGAGCTGAGAGCGGGACCCTACCCAGAGAAACAGGGATGCCTGAGATGGAGACAGAGAAGATGACGCGGAGTGATGAAGCGGCTGGTGACTTTGGATCCAGAGAGGGAGAGGGACTGTGGACCGAAGACTGGGGGCGGGGAGAGGAGGAAGTGTAGAGGATGGGTTTCTAGGATATACCCTTTGGTCGGAAGATGATGCATGGAGGGGATGGGAACCATGGCAATGAAATGATATACGATGGAATGAATGTAAAACTAAAGTTCTCTCATGTAAACTATCATATAATTCACAAAAAAACATTAAAAAAAAAAAAAAAAAGAGATGGTGTGGCTGGGGACTTGGGATCCAGGGAGGGAAAGGGGCTGAGGACTGTGGTGGGGGGGAGGTTGCAGGCTTACAGGGTACACCCTTTGGTTGGGTGAGAATGCATGGACGGGATGATAACTATGCCAATGAAATGATAGATGATAGAATGAATGTAAAACTAATGTTCTCCCATGTAGACTATCACACAATTCACAATAAAACATTTATTTAAAAAAAAAATTAAAAAATAAAGTTTAGGAAGATGACTGAGAGTAAAGCGGCCAGCTGGTCTGAAGTGCAGAGAGGTGTGTGTGAACTTCCAAACTTGCAATGAGTACCCATTTAACAAAGCTTGGATGGCTAGTTGACCAGAACTTGAACCAAGGAAGATAAATATGTTTGGTACTGACAACAAGTACAAATTACTATAATTTGATGAACTAGACTTTTGCCTATGAATTCAGTGACTCAAAATTCCAGTCAGAATGGAAGGATTCTTCATATCAAAGAGCACCCTTTTCTTCAGTGTACAGGGTTGATAGGGATGAGAAATGTAGACACTGGCTATCAAAAGTGGAGGTGGGGGCTACAAAGACATGAAGTGACTAGCTTACAAACGTTCATGAGTGTGCTTAGTTGCAGAATGGGGGTGGGGGACATAGAGAGCAGAATGGATAAAAAAAACAAGACCCTTCAATCTGCTGTCTACAAGAGACACATAAAAAAGATGAAGACAGCCTAAATATCCATCAACAGAAGAATGGCAAAACAAACCTTGGTACATACACACAATGGAATACTACAAAATGTTGAAGAATAAGGATGACTCTTTGAAACACTTCACAACATGGTTGAACTTGGAGGACATTATGCTGAGTGAAATTAGTCAATCACAAAAGGACAAATATTGTATGAGACCAATGTTGTTAAAAGGTAAAAAAAAAGAAAAAATTTTCTTGATAAAAGAAATAATCTATGATGGTTATGGTGGGGGAGGATTTTTCGTGGGCTTGGGGCAGACGCATGTTAACATGGGTAACAGGGGAGACAATATACAAGAGGGAAGTTAGCAGAGGAAAGATGAAGGTAGCGGAAGGCCACAAGGAGGAATGCAATAGATAAAATGAAAAGAGGTAAACATTGTGAACGGTTGGTACTTGGAGGGGATTACAGCCATGTAATGGAGCAAAGCATATGAATTGTTGAATGTGAAGCTGATGATCTGCTCTGTAAACCTTCACACAATTCACAATAAAAAGTTGAAGGAAAAAAAATAAATAAATAAAATTGGAGGTCTGAGTCCACCCAGAGGCACCTTGGAAGAAAGGTCTGGTGATCTGAAAACTCAGCCCTTGAGACCCCTATGGAGCACAGCTATACTCTAGCACATGGGGTCCCATGAGTTGAAGTCCACTGGAAGCCAATTAATTTTTTTTCTGAGATAGGAGGGGCTGGACAAGATGATCAAGTCCTACTTCCTCCTCAGGACTGAGGTCTCTGGCACGTTGGCAGCCCCTTGCTCCAGCTTATTGGTTTCATGACTACCTTTGAATGGGATGGACCACACGCAACAATTGGAGCAGAGTGTACAGGTTTGGAGTCAGGCAAACCTGGGTGAGAATCAGGCTCTGTTCCCTTGGTCTCATTGGACAAGCAGCCTCACCTCCCCATGACTCTACTTCTTTAAAACAGGATAGTACCGTGGGCCTCACTGGGTTTCTGAGAACACTCCTATAATTGTGGGGCAGGTTGGGCACAGTGCTTGGCACCTTCACCTTACTGGGGTAGGCGGACTCCCCCTCTCCTCCTCTGGTTTTTGAATCCCCTTCTATGTCCAGGTCTAGGAATACAGAGCCCTGGCCTCTGCTCCAGCAGTTGACCCTCACTGCCCCACTGTGTGCATCAGCAACCTCCCAGGCCCCCACCCCACAGCACTCTCACAGTGTGTGTAGTGAAGCCTGTAGTGAAGCCAAGCCCCTGTGGCACTCCTGCCCTCTCTGCCCTGTATAGCTCAGTCAGCCTGGGCAGTTCTGGGTGGTTTGTCAAGGACATTCTTAATGGCCACAGTCAACCGGGGTGGGGGTGGGGAGGGGAGGATGTTGATTGGTGGAGCTCACACCTGTCCAGGTGCACATGAGCTGGAGGCAAAGGAATCTCTGTTAGAGGAGGGCCAGCTGGGGCCACTGCAGGGTGGACTGGCAGAGGTGAGGGATTGCTGGGTGCGGAGCTGGGGCAAGGACTTGGGTGGGACCTGCCAAGGCCAGGGCAGTGAGGAGCCAGCACCCTACTTTTATCCTCACAAGATCTCCTTTTGGACCTGAGATTTACCTGCCTCTGCAGTCTGAGGGGGTTTTAGGGGTAGGCATGAGGGGTCAGAGCACCCCACAGTGAGAGAAGAATCCCTTAAAGAGACTGCTCTAAGCAGCAGAAGGAGCCAAGTGCCCAGGTAGGGAAGAGTGGTGGCCATAGAAGGGGGCAGGGGATCGGAGGCCAGGGATCCTGCCTGTGGCCAGGCTGCTGTTGGACCACCCAACCTGCACATCAATGACCACATGGATACCACTTCAGTGATGAGAGCACCCCCAGACCCATGTCTCCTCTTGGCATAGTGACTTTACACACACACACACACACACACACACACACACACACAGAGTCCTTTCTTTTATTTGGGAACAGGAGGATTGGACAGAGCAAGTGACGGGTAAGTTTATGGGAACAGCTTATAAGAGGTTTGTCTGTCCATCTGTTTGCTCCACAAGGAACCAGAATGGAGGAGTTAGTGGGGCTGCGTGAGGGGTCTCCAGGGAACCCTGTAACTCTGCGGGAGCTGTGGAGCCCATGTCCCCGAATTCGAAAAGGCATCCGAGGTGAGACCTGGATCCCCTCCCCCACCTTACATTTATCAGAACATCACTGCCCAGAGTCTCCTGGGTAGCAGGCAGGGAAAGAACCTGTTTGTCTGTCTGTCTGTCTGTGAGTTGGATGTGCCAGATGTTTGCCTTCTACCTTTTGGGAGATGCAGCCCCAGGACTTGATTACTGTGCCCAGCCAGTACGCAGGCCTCAACCCTGAGCTCCCACCCACTGGTGAGATGGCTGAATCTCACCCACCTGTACCAATAAGGGGACCTGGGGAGGAAGTGCCCCTTAGTGCCACAACAGGTAGCTAGCTGGGGGAGGTTGGACTTGGCACCTTTCCTTGCCACCCCCAAGTACACTGTTCACGTTGAGGTTGGGAGCATTCTCTTAAATGGAGGGCAGAGAAGATGGGGACCCCATAAAGAGGCTCTGGGGCGTGAATTGACTTGATGGTAAATAGTAACAACATGGTGGGGACGGGGAGTGTGACAGGACAAAGGCCTCTTGGCAGTGGAACAGGTGTGGTGCCCTCTATGTTGACACCTTCACCTACCATAAACTTGCTCTACCCCTCACGTGAGGCAGCGTTCCCTCCCAGTTGCCCTAGACAGGACCACCTGGCCCCATCCCCATCACTGTTGTCCATGCCCCCATTCTCCCATCTCCCACCTCCCACCCCCCGCGGGGGCTCAGACTCCATGTTCCTGCCACAGATGGCCTGGGATGGCTGAAGCAGAAGCTGTTCCGTGAAGGTGAAGACTGGCACCTCCTGATGACTTTAGGGGTGCTAATGGCCCTCATCAGCTATACCATGAACTTCGCTGTCAACCGTGTGGTTCGAGGTAATTTGGTTCTGGACCAAGGGCTTCTGGGCACACTCTTGGGGATGCCAGTGGGAAAGGAAACTTGGGTCTGTTCCTGGTTTTGCTTCTAACTCTTTCCTTCTAACATCCTGTGTGATCCTAGCAGTGTCTGGTCACCCTCTCTGTGCCTCAGTATTCTCCTGAATGTTCCAAGACTCTATCCCCATTTGAGCTCTGTGCTTACCTCTTCTGCTACTCTGCTCCCTATCCTTCCTTCAATGACCCACTTGCTCTCAGCTGCTTAACTCTCAGGGAGGCCCCTTGTCTAGACCACCAGGCATCAAACTTTCTTCCCCTGTGCCTCAGCAGGCCTTCTTCACCCTGGAAAAGGGGGTATGGGGCAGGAGGAGTCTAAGTCATCTTCTCCAGGAGATTCCCCTAGCTGCCATATTGCACACTGACTAGATGCCAAACATAGTCTGAAACCTGTCTCCTTTAATTCTCACAATGACTGTGAGCAGGGGTACCATCACTAGCCCATTTGACAGATGGGGAGACAGAGGCTCAGAGAGGTTGAATTACTTGCTCAATTAAACCCTAAAATCAAATCTATTTCCATCTAGTCAATTCTGATTCAAAACGACCTTATAGGACAGATGAGAACTGTTCCCTAGGGTGTCTGAGGCTATAAATCTTTACAAAAGCAGACAGCTTCATTTTTTTTCCAGAGGATTAGCTGGTGGATTTGAACCACCAACCTTGCAGTTAATCCACGGTGCCACCACAGTCTTGTCACTCATCTAGGAAGTGGCAAAACTGGGATCTATACTCAAGGTCCTATCTGTTGCTGTTTCTGGATACTTACTACTTACTGGGTGGTCCTGGGCACCCCCTTCTTTGAGACCCCCTTTTCTGGACAATAAATGGGCACTAGTGTCAGTCCTGAGGATTGCAGAGGCTGTGGGTGGGACCCTGATTCTTTGCCATCGCCAGCGCACAAGTGGCTATACCGGGAGATTGGGGACAGCCACCTACTCCGGTATCTCTCCTGGACTGTGTACCCCGTGGCCCTCGTCTCCTTCTCCTCGGGTTTCTCCCAAAGCATCACGCCGTTCTCTGGAGGTGAGTCTAGGATGCCATTCCTTTGCACCTTGCCCTGCAGTCCTCACTGGCCAAAGGGTCTCTAATAGGGACAGGCAGGAAGCTGTCATCCATACTATAGTCATCCAAGTCTAGCTCAGATAAGTCCTGTTGTTTGTCCAAAGTCACACAGTAAGAAGGCCAGATCCTTTAACTCCTCGGCCGCTGCCGACACTACCTGCTTTCTGGGGGTCCTCTGACCTGTGTCAGGGAGGACTGGTGACAGGTCCCCTGCAGAGCCCATGCCAAGAGCATCCTTGGGGTAGGAATGAAGGAAGAACACAGCCCCCCAGGCCTCTCAGCTCTGCCACCAGCTGCAGACCAGCAGAGAAGAGAGCCAGGGGTGAATTCAGTGGTGGCCTGAGCTCTTGTCCTGTGCCCCCCACCCCATGCAGCTGTCTGCTAGACCCAGATGGGAGGGAGTTCATGGACAATTCACTTCCTTTCTGTGACCCTCAACTTCCTCATCTGTAACACAGGTTCATGAGCCCTAACTTCACAGGGCTTGTGATGTTCTAACAAGCTCATGATATGAAAACAATTAGTACAGTGTCAAGTTAGACTGTCTAAAGACAATCCCTACTTCTGTCCCCTGTCTCATCCCCTGACAAGGTTCTGGAATCCCGGAACTGAAAACCATCCTGTCTGGTGTGATCTTGGACGATTACCTGGATATCAAGAACTTCGGGGCCAAGGTGGTGGGCCTCAGCTGCACCCTGGCCAGCGGCAGCACTGTGTTCCTGGGCAAAGTGGTACAAATGGCAAGAGCACCCCACCCTAGCCTGCCCTTCCTGCCCCCACCCTTTCCCATCACCCCATCCAGAGAGAGCTAGGTCATAGGACTCAACCAGCCCCTGCCCGCCTGGAGCTCTTTAGTCCTGGGGAACACGGTTATGGGTGGACAGCTATGCCATCACTGACCCTGAGTGAGGCTCTCTCTGAACACTGAATCCTGAAGGGAAGGGATAAGGGCCCTAGTGTGCACCCCCCTCCCCCCCCCCCCCCCCGTACCCACACTTACCCTGGGCAGGGCCCCTTCGTGCACCTATCGGTGATGATTGCCGCCTACCTGAGCCGCGTGCGTCTCAAGGCCACCAAAGAGTCTGAGGTAAGGGGTGCAGAGTAAGCCTCTATTTGAGGAATGGGTTCTCCCCTCAGCCAGAGCTCTCCAAGGGAGAAGCTGGGAGCTGAGCCCAGACCTTGGGTCCCCCCAGAACAGGAGGAAGCAAAAGGAAATGCTGGTAGTGGCTGCGGCCGTGGGCGTGGCCACAGTCTTCGCGGCGCCCTTCAGTGGTGAGACCCCTGGCGCCTGGCCCTCACGCCCTTCTCCCCAAGACGCTGGTGGTCCTCAGCTCCCTCCTTTGCCAACTGAAGGTCCTGGTGGAGGAATGAAGTTTCTGCTGCGGGTGTAGCCACCCCAGAGTTGGGATGGGGTGGGATGGGGTGGGGTGGGGTGAAGGAAGCTTCAGGGAGACAGGAGATAGACTTGGGTTTGGTCCCAGGCTCTTGAGCTCGTCTTTCTGAGCCTGGGTTTATCTGCCAAGTGGGGATCTGGCAGGCCCGACCCAGTAGGGCAGTCGTGAGCCTTCGATGACGTGAGGTCTGAGAAGACTCAGCGGGGCCGGGCACAGACATGGCTTCCCACGGTTGCTGTGTTTCCCGGATAGAGGGTCCTGGGTTCCCCTCACGTCCGCTCACAACCCCCGGGATGGAAGTCAGCTCAGCTGTAAGAGAGATCAGGATCTAGAGGCCAGGGAGGAGGCGACGCCCGAGCTCCGTGTCACCCCCAGGCGTCCTGTTCAGCATCGAGGTCTTGTCTTCCCACTATTCCGTCTGGGATTACTGGAGGTGCTTCTTTGCGGCCACCTGCGGAGCCTTCATGTTCCGCCTCCTGGCTGTCTTCAACAGCGAGCAGGGTGAGCACCGCCCACCGCCTGACCCCGCCTGCCAGGGCCGCCCTTCTTCCGGGCCTCCCCACTCCATCCCCCCACATTGGTCCCCTTTACCTTCCTCCCTCTTCTCGCCTGCTCTTCCCTCTTTCTTCCTCCTCTCCTAATTTTATTCCCTCCCTCCCTGCTTCCCCCCACACACAACTTCATCCCTTTTCCCCACCTTTCTCCTGTCTCTTCTCCCTTCGCTCTTGCTGCCCAGAGGGAGGAAGGGAGCCAACTTCTGTTGGTCATAATGGGTGGGGGCCTTTGAGGAATTGAAGGGGTGAAGCTAGGCAGGGAGGCAGAGACTAGGCTCTGGGGGTCGGAAATCTAGGAAAAGGCTTTGGGGCTGGAGTACAGGACCTGACACTACCTCCACTCCCACCTAATTCTGGACTTGGGTTTGTGACTCTGCTCCCCTCCTCCCCAGAGACCATCACTTCCCTCTTCAAAACCGGTTTCCGGGTGGATGTCCCCTTTGACCTGCCTGAGATCTTCTTCTTTGTGGTGTTGGGGTGAGTGGAGGCCTCAGGCTAGTCAACAGAGCCCCATTGGGCTGGAGAGGCTACTTGGGACAGGACTTAACTGGCCCACACCTCCAGGGCCATCTGTGGCATTCTCAGCTGTGCATACCTCTTCTGCCAGCGAACTTTCCTAGGCTTCATCAGGACCAATCGCTTCACCTCCAAATTGATGGCCACCAGGTAGGCGCTGGGCTGGGCTGGGATTTTTTTAGGGGCCCCCTCACTCCCACATCCCTGAGCCTACAACTCCTCTAGTATATAGGAACCCCACCCACTCACTGAGCCACTACCCTCCCAATGAGCCCCCAAACCCTTCCTGGAGCCCACAACCTACTGTCACTAACATCCCTCTGTAAGCTCCCACCCCTCAGGTAAGGCCCTCCCCTCACCTGAGCCCAGGTGACCCACTGAGCCTTCTCCCTTCCTCCTGCCCCAGGCTGGCCTTGTATGAGCCCCACCCCAGTCTGGCCTTCCTCCCAGACTATTTTTGTCCCAACTCACCTATCAGTCCTGTCCTTTATTGCACCCAGTGTGTGTGTATGTGTAGGGGAGACTCTCAGGTTCCTGTCCCCACTGGGCTGAGGTCTAGCCTTTGTCCCTTCTTCCGACCCCCTCTCCCCTCCTATCCTCTCTCTTCCCAGGTTCCAGCATTATTGTTAGCCCCCCAGGGGGTGGGGCTGCTTTGGCTCTAGTGAAGCTCCATTTCCCCCTCCATGGTGGGGGGAAGGTCTGCCACTGGAGCCCAGTGCCCTCTCCTTCCCCAGCAAGCCCGTGTACTCCACCCTGGCCACCTTGATCCTTGCCTCCATCACCTATCCTCCTGGTGTGGGCCGCTTCATGGCCTCTCGGGTAAGGGGCACTGGGCTGGCGGCAGAGGAAACGGGGAGTTCTTCCTCTCATTTAACTTTGCAAAACTCTTACCTGGAGCTGCCTGCAACTGTTTAACAGAAGAGGCAGCCTCAGCTCAGGGTCCCCAGCTGGGATTTGAGGCAGGTGGCATGGGAAGAGGGTCACTCCCTTGTCATGCAGAGTTCTGCCTGACCCTGCTGCAGCTGTCCATGAAGGAGCACCTGGACTCCCTGTTTGATAACAACTCGTGGGCACTCATCACCCGGAACTCATCCCCACCCTGGCCTGCAGAGCCTGACCCCCAGAACCTGTGGTTTGAGTGGTACCACCCGCAGTTCACCGTCTTTGGGACTCTTGCCTTCTTCCTAGTTATGAAGGTGGGCATCCGAGGGCCACTCACACAGGGATGTACCCAGAGCTGAGACCAGTCATAGATGGGATTAAGGGGGGGGGGTGCTTCCCATGCACAATATGCCGCCTAGAGCCAGGTCTTCCACCCAGACACCCTGATATGATTCCTGCTCATTTTGTGGACTTAGCAAGTCACTTGAGCCCTCTGATCCTCAGTCTCCTCATCTGTAAATTGGGAGTAGTTTACTTAAAGGGAAGGTTGAGAGGGAAGCAGGAAAGTACACTCAGGTATGCTCTTTCTCTCTGGGACACTCCTCTGTTTCCACCTGTAGTTCTGGATGCTGATTTTGGCCACCACGATCCCCATACCTGCTGGGTACTTCATGCCCATCTTTATCTTTGGTGAGTCTGAGGTTCTGGGGGAAAGGTTCTGGGTTATTGGGGTGGGGCCATGGCAGGGGCTCCTGGCCCACCCCATCCCTCCCTAGAGTGGTACCATGGCTGGTCACCAGGGGTAGAAGCTGTGGGAGCCGGGTCAGCCTGACTCCTACCTCCTTACCCCAAATCTGGGCCAGGAGCTGCCACTGGGCGCCTCATAGGGGAGGCCCTCTCTGTTGCCTTCCCCGAGGGTATCATAGCTGGAGGGATCACCTACCCCATCATCCCTGGGGGTTATGCCCTGGCAGGTGAGTGGCCAGGTCCCTGCTGGACTGGGCTGGAGCTGGAGCATTGTATTTTTGTATGACACAAGTGTCATCCCTGAGTCTCCCAATGAGCCCCCGCCCCTTGTGGAGGCCTGTCCCCTCCCAGAGCCCCCATTACCTTCTCTTAGCTTCTATCTTGTCCTTGATTTTCCCATCCCTTTTCCCTTTTTTATCTCCCACTCACCCAGCCCTGGCATTGGGGCACTTCCAACAGTGGCCACAAGGTGGCTTCAAGTCAAGAATCCTCTGTACAATTCCTAGAGTAGCCACACCTCTCTTACCCTCCCTGACTGGCTGGCTCTGACCTGAGCTGCCCCACTGGGCTCTGCTCCCTGTAGGGGCTGCGGCCTTCTCAGGGGCAGTGACCCACACCATCTCCACGGCTATACTGGCCTTTGAATTGACTGGCCAGATTGTGCACGCACTGCCTGTGTTGTTGGCTGTGCTGGCAGCCAATGCCATTGCCCAAAGCTGCCAGCCCTCATTCTACGAAGGCACTATCATCGTGAAGAAGCTGCCATTCCTGCCATGGATCAGAGGCCGCAACATCGGGTGAGCAATGCCCAGCTCCAGCAGACTGGTGGGGTGATGGTGTCCGGGGTGGTCTGGGGGTGGGGGGTCCCTGGACCTCAAGTCATCATCAGTCCATTTTCATTCCCACCCCACCCCCATTACCACCATCACAAGAAGCTGCCATTGTGTAGACTCCAACTCATAATGATCCCATGTGTGCCCAAGTGGGTTTTCACTGGCTGATTTGACAAGGTAGATTGCCCAACCTGGCTCCCAAGGTGCCTCTGGGTGGACTTGAAGCTCCAACCTTTCAGGTAGCAGCCAACTTGTTAACCTCTTTTCATCCCCTAGGGATGACATTTTCACAACATTTGTTGGAAGAGGAAATCAGGGCTCAGAGAGGTGTTGTGTCTTGCTCCAGGACACTCCTGTCAGCATCAGATCTGGGGGAGTCCCTCTCCCCACTCTCTGTTATGCTCAAGGGATGTTGGGGGCTAGAGGGAGGAAATAGACTTAGAGGTCCTTGCTTAACCAGACAAGATTGGGGCAACATCTGTCCAGGGAGCAGCAGAATGAAGAGACTTTAAAAGTCCCAGGTCCAGGACCCAGCTCCAGATGTGTGCTGGTTTCGAATCTCAGTTTCCCATTTATAAAGCACTGGTGGTTACTCCAGTGATTTTCAAACATTTTTGTTGTTGCTGGGGCAGGGCATGAATTAAAAAAGAAAGAAAGAAAGAAATTCTCCAATAGGCAGCCTATTGGATACAACAGAGCAAAGGGAGGCTGGTGGGGGAAAGAAAGGGGCCCAGGAGACTGGATCCAGAGTCAGATCATTAGGTGAGATCAGCCCCAGATTCTTGCCCACCTTGGGATTCCTCATTCCAGGAATCCATACTTGAGAACCACAGGTCTCTGTCTCCAGCAAAGTTCTTTAGGTCCCCCATCTCGTCTTGGGATCTGGATGTCTCCTTACCCCATCCTTCTGCCCGCAGCAACCACCCGGTGATTGTGGAGCACTTCATGAATGGTGCTATCACTGTGCTGGCCAAGGACATGTCTATGGAGGAGGTGGTCAAGGTCGTGACCTCCACAGACGTGGCTGAGTACCCCCTGGTGGAGAGCACAGGTGCCAGCAGACAACGGGAGGTCACTGGGGAGGGGGCATTCCCTTGGCTTTCCTCATGGACCTCAGGTCCAGTGATGGGTATCCCAGGTACTGGAGCTGAATCTGCGTGTGGCCTTGGGCCAGATACCTCATCTCTCTGAACCTGTCTCCTCATCAGTAACATGGAGATAGTAACCATCCTACTTTGGAGTGGTTGATGTGTTTCAGCAAGAGGAGGCTTATAAAGTGAACAGTACTCTTGGAATTATTAACCATCTTTCAGAGATGAATTCTAGGAATCAGGCCTGGTCTGCATGGAGAATGGGGGTGGGGTGATGGGACACTAATAGGGTCTTCCCAGAAGGTTTCCCCATTCAAGCTCCCTTTCAAGCACCCCCAGATACTAGATGTTCCCTCCCCTCCACTCCTGTGGCCATGAGAAAAACATAATTTTAAAGGCAAATAAATGGTGGCCCTTGTTTAAAATTAAGCTTTGTCTTGAAATAGGATCTAGCTCGTCATAATTAACTTCATTTTCTCCTCTTCTGTAAAATGCATGATAATCATTTCTGACCCTTAGGAGACACGTGAACACTTAGCGTGTAGTGTTGTTGTTGTTGTTAAGTGCCTTTGAGGCAGTTCCGACTCATAGCAACCCTGTATAGGGTTATCTTACAGCATCACACCAGGACTACATACTAGCACACAATGGTGGTGGTAGTGTGCCATGGAGCTAGTTCCGAATCATAGCGACCCTGAATAGGGTTTCCATGGCTGTAAGTCTTTACGGGAGCAAAAAGCCTCATCTTTCTATTACGGAACCGCTGGTAGTTTCGAACTGCTGACCTTGAGATTAGCAGCCCGACTCTTAACTACTATGCTACCAGAACACATAGTAGGTGTGAGTGAAAGAGTTCCTTTATGATTGTCTCTCCTGCCTCCACTTGTTCAGAATCTCAAATCCTTATGGGTGTTGTACGAAGGGCCCAGTTGCTGCAGGCCCTCCAGGCTGAGCCACCTTCCTGGGTTCCGGAACACCAGGTAAGCACTAGTGGAGTGTTCTGAGGGGCAAAGGGGGGGGCGGGGGGCAAGAGAAATGAGATAAGAGGCCAATTGACCTGTGGGAGAGGTAGTCTGAAAGGGGCAGTTTGGGAAGGGGAGACTGGCCTGGGCCCCATAATCCTCCTCCCTCTAGCGGTGTCTCCAGGATATCTTGGCTAGGAGCTGTCCCATGGAGCCTGTGACCCTTCATTTGTCCCCAGAGACCTCCTTACACCAGGTAACGGGACCGTCCGGGCACTGTGAACAGAGCAGATCCCTGGGGTAGAGAGGAAAAGCTCCCCTGGGAAACGGGCTCCAATTTCCCCCACTGGGTATGTTGCTGTCTGTGCCTCATCCTGACTTATCCAAGTCTTACTCCCAGGGAGGGTGCTCAGAGGCTAGGGAAGTGGGAGAACTTGGGAAACTGAAACCCTCTGTATTATTGGGAAAATACCTTCGCCGTTTTTACACTAGGGACTCAGAGGCAGTCCCAACTCCTCTCTACTTATGGGTGATACTGGATTACAGGTCCTTTTCTCTGAGGCCCCATCAGCCTCTTGCATGGACTCTGGGAGCCCCTGGTGGTCATAATTGACACTACAGGTCTGGGTCCCTGGTCTTCCCCAAGATGTAGGGGAGTGGACATTTCTGGGGCAGACTCTGGCCAGGGTCTCCACCTCTGCTCTAAGCCCCCAAGCTGGGGAGAGCTTGAGAGAGTGATGAAGAGGGCATCCACATCCCCAACACTTCTTGACACCCCCTCCAGGCACACAACCTCTTCGAGCTGATGAACCTTCATTCCCTCTTTGTGACGTTGCGAGGCAAAGCTGTGGGCTTCGTGTCCTGGGTGGAGGTACCAGGGTCCCCAGGGTAGAACAAAATGGAGGAGACATGCCTGAGCAGTCTAGGGGCCCAGGGTGGGGGCATCAATATCCTTCCATCTGAATTTGGGAGCAGGGCTTCTGGGATTTTGAAACGCACCCACTTCCTGGCCCAGTCTTCCTGTCAGCCCCCAGACTGGTCATCTGGGCTTGACTACTACTACCTTGCCACTCTCTGGACCAGCCCTGCCACTTTCTGGGCCTCAATGATCCCATCTGTGTAATGGGGAGGCATTAGCTCTAATATTTACCCTAGAACGTACTCTTGAGGGAATCAAATATACCTGGAGTCCCTACTCTTATTGTCTAGATCCACACTCCAAAAAAAACCCCTTTCTCTTTGTTCTAGTTGAAGAAAGCAATTTCTAACCTGACGAATCCACCGGCCCCAAAGTGAACCTGGCCAGATGCAATGGATTCTCAACTGTCTGGTGACTTCGGTTAGGTAGAGACCCTCCTTCTCTCCTCCTCATCCCAACATACTCCCGGGCCTCCAGCCTGGCTCAATTCCTTGTCAGCTGTAACCAAGCCCGGTCCCACTGCACAACCATTACATGTCGCAAGGACAAACCCCACTCAGGACAGCAGAAGCTAGTATATAGTAGGTGCTCGATGAATGTTCATCAAATTCATGGATGAAGAGGTTGGCATATAGTCACCAAGGGCAGGCACAATTACTGTATGGGGGGTGCCTGATCCCCAACCACAGGCTCCTGAGAAGAATAAAGCTGATCCCCAGAGCTCTCATCGACCTATCATTTGAGCTCCAAGAGACTTGACTTGGCACCTCGACTTACCTGCTCTGACACTGTGAACGAGCTCTTGGTGACTCTGGTGGTCAAGTGCATTGTAGTCTTGGGCCCCTGATTTCCTGCTACTCTTCACACCCCAATTTTTGGAAAGAAGATTGGGAATAAGGTCCTTAGGGCAGCCAGCCCTCCACCTAGGTCTCATGACGCTTGCCCTTGGGTGTAAGTGGGATCCTGAGCAGGGTCTCCATATGGCTTCTTGGGAGTCCACAAAGCCTTGGGCCCCTTCCATGAGGCCTCCTCAGATTGGGTGGCAGCAGGCTGACTATCTGTGTGTTCTCTAAGTCCTTCTAGATCCCCAGGAACCTAAGGATGAGCTTTCCCGTGTAAAGAATAGGCCAAGTTCACTCAAGATGACTCCATCACTTTAATGTCTTCAGAGAATCTCAAGAGATAGGAGTGGGTGCAGGATGGGGAGTGGATTCCCTGGGGTGGGCGGTACTCAGAAAGTGAGGGAGGAATAACACTCCAAACAGAGGTACAGACATCCTGGTGAGGAGAGCCGAGGAGGGGATGCTTAGCTATCAGAAAAGGCCACCCCACCTTGATGGGGCGGAAGCACAGAGGGACTGGGAAGGAACTGAGTCCCTTGGAACCAAGGCAGCATCCTAAGACCCCATCCCAAGTGGGTCTCTCAACCCCATCCATGGCTTGCCTGCCTGGGGCCTGGCTGTCAGCCCTCTGGGATGGATTGCTCTCATGTCTGAAGTGAAAGTCCTTTCACTTCATGGATGGTGGAAACCTGCCAGGGGGACGTGCCCACCTGAGCCAGGTAAAAAAGAAAGGAGAAGGAGGTATGGCTCCTACTGTGGAGGGGGGGCAGGTCCACAGAGGCACAGAGTGGTAACAAAGAGTGCTAGCTACCATCCCTAACACACCCACCCTTATGCCTGCTTGGGGGCTCAAGAAGTGCCCTGCCGTACCCTCAGTGTGTCTGGAAGCCCACTGGACCAGGTCATGGCTGTGGGTCTCACCTCAGTTATAAAACACCTCATCCTCCTCCTCAGAGAGGGAGCCGCTGTTCACCGAGGGCAGAGAACTCTGACCCAGGCCCCCCGGCAGCCGCTGCCGATGCTGCTGTTCAGGGCTAGGGGGTTGTAGGCAGGCTACTGTGCTGGGGGGCTCCTCGGGTGAGGGCCAGCCATCGGGGGAGAGGCCAGAAGAGGAGAAGGCCAGAAGACTCTCATCCTGTGAGGGGCTCAAGAAGCTGTCCTGCAGGTAGATGCTCTCCAGGTCTGCAAAACCAACAGGTGGGGGTGAGGGTGGAGTCCTGGGCCCTGCCTGTCCCCCTCTTCTGGTGTGTGCGAGTATCAGGAAGAGAGGACCTGGGTCCAGGTCCCCATTACTGCTGAGCTGTGTGACCTTGAGCAAGTCACTGAACCTCTCTGAGCCCCAGGGGGTGGTTGTTGTTAAGTGCCATCAAGTCAGTTTTGACTCATAGTGACCCTGTATAGGGTTTCCAAAGGAGCAGCTGGTGGGTTTGAACTGCTGTCCTTGTGGTAGCAGCTTGAAATCTTACAGCTGTGAGAAATGGTACACTGAGTGCTCCTCCCAGGCCTTGTCCCCTCATCTGCTCCTTAGCGTCAGAGCATTAAATGAGATAATTAATGTGCAAGCTGCACCCAGGTTCCAGGCTCTCTGAAGACCAGCAGTCACGTGGAGTTTCTGGAAAGTGGTTGGTCTGCCTGAGGCCAAGGTTCAGATCCTAGCTGATGCCTCTAGCTGTATAATCTGGGGACAGTTTCTGAGTCTCTAGGTACCTCAGTTTCCCCTGGGTGGTTGTGACAATGAAGTGCAATGCCACACATGGAGTACTCGGCACAGTGCCTGGCACATGATAAGCACTGACATCATGTATCTACTGTTATTCTTAATCTCTCTTTCATGCTTGTGTGCACTGGGTGGTGAGTGCACAGGACAAGGATCACTGGCCCCATTTCACAGATGAAGAAACTAAGGCTGAAGGAATGATCACACTACTTTTGCTCTGTTGTTTGCCCCGCCCTGGTGCACACCCCCCCAACGCCATCCCAGGCCATACCCTGTAGATGGACAATGTCCTGGGTGCTGTTCTCAGGGTGCAGCTCCTCGTCATCCAGTGAGGACCAGGCGCTCAGCGTGGCCTCTGTGATGGCAAACTGCTCAGCGACCCCTAAGTGGGGAAAATGAGGTCCAGCTCAGTGGTACCAGGACAGGCTGGGGTTAAGCATGCCCACCTACTGCCCCATTCACCTCACTCTCAGTATTGCTCCGTGCCCAGACAGTGTCTATGGGCTGAACTTGCAGAGCCCCCCTGACCCTCCATCCACACCCCCACCCCCACGCTGACCTGCAGCAAAGCGGGCCTCACGCAGCTCATCTGGGAGGCAGCAGTAACGCTCATCCTCGGCTGATGACAGTTCCCAGCCTGACCACTGGGCGCTCCAGCCTTTCCACTCGATGAGGTGGGCCACCCGGCCCCTTGCCATGGCTGTGGGCTTTGTGATGTGGTCCTTGATGCTCTGCACCACCCCTGGGGACAGTGAGGGTCAGACTCAACTCAGGGCCCTGCTCCCCAGTATCCCAACCCCCAATACTTCAGACCTACCCAGTGGCTTGTATGCCACATCCATTCAATGACCCCTGACCATTGAACACCCTGTACCCACCCAGTTCCCCATATCCTCAAAGTCCCATCCATAACCACCCAATGCCCGGTACCTACGTAATTGCACCTGTCTGGCTAGTTCCTATACTCACTCACTGCCCCTTGACCCCACTAAGTCTTACAGCCCCACTCATGGCCCCCCAGTGCCCTGCTCCCAGGCAACATCCCTGCCCACCTGGTGCTTCTTTCCCGAACCTACCACAACCCTCCTTCCCTCTCTGACAATTTCTTCAGTACCTGGGCCAGTCCCAGTTCTGCTGATGTATGATCTGATGTGTGTGGTGGTAGTGGGGGGTTGGGGGGCATGTAGGCAGGGAAGACTTCATGGACGAGGTGGGACTGGAGTTGGGTTTTGATGGATGGGCTGAGTTTGGACAGAGGCCATTTCAGGGATAAGAAGAGGATGGAGACGTGGAAGAGTGTTGAGATTGATTCCAAGACTGCTGGGTAAGACATGGGGGTACCACCAGGACAGGGGTGACAGGAGAGACGGAACCAATCGGGACAGATTAGACATCTGAAGAACCAGGCTGTGGGTCTCAGATGTCCACTTAGAGCAATGGGGGAGCCACAGCGGGAGAGTAAGCAGGTGAGTAACAGATGAGACCCACTGTTCAGGAAGAACCTCCTAGTTAAGGGTTTGGGATCAAGGGTAGAGGAAGAAGACCATCAACCACTGCAATAACCTAATCAGGGCAGGTGGGGAGGCCGGGGTGGGGGAAGAGCATTCTCAGGATTAGACCAGTTGGACCTGGACGTGACTGATAGCTGCTAAGAATGATTCAGCATCTTCATTAACCAAGACTGAGAACACAGATCTGGGAGTCATTGAGTGGGTGGGTGGGTTGTCCCTGTTGTGGGATGGAGGACACAGTGTAAGCAAATGTGGGGAAGGACGAAAGCAAGGGACACCTTAGAGAGCGGTGAGGGATTTAATAAGATGGGACAAGAGGCTAACAGGAGAAGAAAGATCTGGAAGGCGGTACTTGGGGCAGCCTAGAGCCTTAGCAGCTGCTATGCTCCCTACTGGAGCCCTTTGCTGGTCTGCACGCCAATCCCCCAGCTACTTCAGGCATTGGCTGCTATTGGACCCTGAATGAGATGGACTGACACAGTGTTTGCAATAACGGGCTCAAACATAGTAACAATCATTAGGATGGTGCATAGACAGGCAGTGTTTGGTTCTGTTGTACACAGGGTTACTATGAATCAGAGCCAACTCGACAGCACCTAACAGAAAAACAGCGCCCTTCTCTGGAGAATTGTTCTTAGCTGATGGGAGATGACTCACCCACAGATGCCTGCCCAAGGGGTTACTGAGTTCCCCCAGGGGCAGTCAATGATGTGGGTAGACAGAAGTCCAGCCGCCTTGCCCAAGTGGGATGAATCCTGAGACATCTTCCATGTTCCAGAGCTCCTCACGGGATCAGTCTGAGAGAACAAGCTTTTCCTGCAATTTTGTCTTTGCTGGGGGGCCTCTCCCAGAGTGTCCCATGACAATTCATCTTCGCTTCCAGAACTGAGCTAAGGGCCTTGACTGGAAGCTTTCATGTGCTGCACAGATCCAGGGAGACCACAGTAACAGATATCCCCTCAGAGCTGCCTGAGAATCCCAGCAATTTAACCCGTGGGATGAGGAACTCTGAGAAAGGCACTGCTCCCCCTAGACCCAGCTTGAAGCTGGAGTTAAGGAAATGTTAAAGCCAACAGGGCTGCAATTCAGTTTTGTCCCTACCACAGCTGGGGTCTAGAAGGAGTGTGACTGGGCTGCCATCCAGCCGGCCCCCTCATTCAAGCATGATAAACCCCAGCACAACAGAATGAAACATTGCCTAGTCCTACGCCATGGTCAAGATGGGTTACAGATTGGAGTGCTGTGATCCATGGGATTTTCACTGGCTGATTTTCAGAAGTAGTTCACCAGGCCTTTCTTCCTAGTCTTTCTTAGTCTAGAAGTGCCACTGAAGCCTGTATCATAGCAACAAGCATGAGGTATACTGGACAGGAATTGAACAGAGGTCTCCGGCACGGTGTGAATTCTACCACTAAGCCACACTGCCCCCAATGTCTAGGGGTGGACCAGTAAACTCCAAAGGCAAGAGAGGGGCAGCTGGAACCTACCCACAAGGGATGAGGTGGCCAGGGCTGCCACATTGTAGTTGCTGGAGCAGGATCTGGAGTCAGACAGGTAGCCATTGGTGGTCTGGAAGCACCTCTGTAGAAGGAGAGAAAGAATAAGAGGGTGGGGCAGATCTGACAGGTGACACCCCCTCCCCCATGACCAATATAACCCCCTATTACCAGGTCCCCTGGACAATGGACAAGGACAGGATAAGTAAAGCCAGGGAATTTCTACCAACTCTATCAAGGACCACTTCCATCCCCTGTCTTCATCAGCTCCCCTCCCACAGGGTTGGCAGGATTGTGTGTTCAAACTGGGCACGGCGGAAGGACAGACAATGGTGTCCGCTATGGATGGCTAGGCTGGGGCACAGGCAAGTCCACTGACCTGCCAAGGATCCCAACAGAAATCCATCTGCTTGTCCTAAAACAAGAGAAAAAGGATCATGTAGGACCCAGAGTTCTGGAGCCCTGGATGGTGGTGTGGGTCAGTCCACTTGGGGCTCTGCTCTAGTGTCCCATGCAGAGAAAGGCAGAGGATACCGGGGAAGGATCACACCTGGGATGGAGCTTTGACTAAGCCATCTAACCAGGTATTTAAAAAAAAATTTTTTTTGCTGTAAATAATTTTCTTTCTTTTTAATGCTTTATTGTGAATTATGTGATAGTTTACATGGGAGAACATTAGCTTTACATTCATCCTATTGTATATCATTTCATTGCCATGGTTACAATCCCCTCCATGCATCATCAACCAACCAAAGGGTATATCCTACAAGCCTTCCCCCCGCCCCCCGCCCCCACCCCGGTCATCAGCACACAGCCCCTCTCCCTCTCTGAGTCTAAAGTCCCCAGCCGCTCCATCTTTCCACGTCATCATCTCTGTCTCCATCTCTGGTGTCACTGCTTTTCTGGGTAGGGTCCCGCGCTCCACTCTCCTCTCTTGATCCCAGTGACGTCCACTCCTAGACTGCAAAGTCAATCACACCCCTCCTTTTGCTACAAAAAGTCTACCTTTACATTTCCAACCCTCACAATCAGTCCTGATAACAATTATTCATTATTGTAGCACAAGAGACCTATCCGCATCTCCTTTCATCAGCCCCACCCAGACAGAGTGGAGATTCTACCTCAGTGGAGATTCTACCTTCCTCCACGCCCGCTGGATCTAGGCTCCCTCTTAAAAGCTTATAAGCCAGTCACTTCTTGCCTTTGTAGCCCCACCATTTTCGGTAGCCAGTGTCCAAGTTGCCCATCCATGTCTACTCTGTGTATGGAGGGGGTGGGAATGTTCTTCGCTGTACAGACTTGTTCCCTCTTTTGAGCTACTGCATCCATATGTGTAGGTCAAGTTCATCAAATTGTATCAGTCTTTCTTTCAAGAAGTATCTTCTGTTCTTCTAGCTGCTCCCGGCTGGTCTGCTTGTCTTTTCAAGTGGAAATTTCCCACCTCAGAAGATTCTGGATGCGGCTCAGGATTCCACCTATAGTCTTATGTATTGCAGAGGCTCCGCAGGAAGCCTCCTTCACTGGGCATGTTGTAGCCCCATTTTAGGAATTCCAATCAGTTATAGGCAGAAGACGGACTTACAAGCTTTCTATGGTGATATTTCTGGCTATTCCTGTGTCTCCGCCTCAAGTGTCTATTTTATAATGGTATGCCAGGGAAACCAAGATTCAAAAGACAGCCAAGCATCTTAACATTATTTCCCCTGTTTTCCCCATTCCAACCATGCCTCAATCCCTGATTCCCAGAACTCTGTTGTTCCAAGGTTGTGCATATATCATTATTTACCTCTGTCCCACTTAGCCCATGCAAATCTGCCTAATTTTTTCCCATCCACTTTGTTCTTCCATTCCCCTCCCCCTTCTTGTGTATTGCCCTCTCCCTAGCACCCAAACTATTCTGTGTCTATTCCCTGCCCTGTGCTCCACCTTCCCCTCCTTCCCCTTGCCCCACCCCCACATCCCGGTAACCAGCAAAGAATCCCCACCACCCCCCTTTAGTATTGGTTCTTTTTCTTAGTCTTTTACAGTAGTGGTCCTATGCAGTATTTCTCTTTTTGTGACTGACTAATTTCACTCAATATAATGTCCTCAAGGTTCATCCATGTTATGCAGTGGCTTGCAGCTTCCTTGTTATTCTTCAAGTTAACATAATATTCCTTTGTGTGTATGTACCACAGTTTGTTTATCCATTTTTCAGTTGATGGCACTTAGGCTATCTCCATCTTTTTGCTATTGTAAATAGTGCTGCTATGAACATTGGTATGCAATATCTACTCATGTTATGACTTGTATTTCTTGTGGGTAAATACCAAGTAGAGGAATTTCTGGATCATAAGGTATTTCTATTTCCAACTTTCCAGAGAAGTTGGACCATTTTGCAATCGCACCAGCAATGTAGGAGTGTCCCTGTCTCTCCACATTTAACCGGGCATTCTTAGACTAGTGACTTAACATCTCAGATCCTCAGTTTCTCCCTCTGTAAAATACCTGGAGTAGCATAAATAACTTAGATAAATTCCTAGCACAATATTTGTCATGTGGTGGATATTCCAAAAAGGAAGAGGGGTTAATTCTATCCACCGGTGGGTTCAAACCACAACCCTGGGGCAAGGGTGGTAATTATGCAGCAGGATTTGGAGCCCCTAGCAAGATAATCCATATGACCTGAGTCCCTCATTCCAGGAAGAAATGAAGGCTGCTGAAGAATTTGTAGGCTAGTAACAAAAATTGTTATCTGCAAGGCTGAGTTAATTTGAGTGGAGACCTTCAGAGCAGGAATCTCTTTCCTAAACAAGCCTGGTCCAATCCCTGTATGCCCAGCACAATTCAGACCCCCATCTTGCTGGAGGGTCTTGGACCCCATAGGAAGTAGAGGAAATCACAGTGATTCCTGATCCCTTTGGGGAGCTACAGTGGACAGGCCAGGAACCAGCTCACAGGCAGGGGTGAAGGGAGGGAGGGAGTGTGACCAGTTTACCTTGCCAGTGACATGGTCAGGAGCAGTGGTGGGCGGGTGGCTGGAGGGCAGGTCTGTGCCCTGGGGCATAGGGCAGTCCTTGTGGGCACTTGTGAACAGATCTGAAAATAAAAAGGACAGGAGGAATTTATAAAATGCAGCCCTCTACTGCTTATAAAAGAACTCTGGTAGCATAGTGGTTAAGAGTCAGGCTGTTAACCTTAGGGTCAGCGGTTCAAAACTACTAGCCATTCTGTGGGAGACACATGAGGCTTTCTGCTCTGATAAAGATTTACAGCCTCTGAAACCCTATACAGGGTTGCTATGAGTCGGAACCAACTCCTCAGCTCACCTCTACCACTGCTTATAAATCCCTTCCATTAATCCTGGTAATGTGTATTACTTTATTCTACCCCACTGTCATTCACAGACGAGAAAACAAAGACCTGAGTCTCCAGCAGGTGAGGAGAAGCTCAGCCATACTCCTACAACATGTGCCTTCTTTAGGAATTTCTTGCCCTATCTTCTTCATACACACACACACACACACACACACACACACACACGTATGGCGATGAAAATATACACAGTAAAACATTTGCCAATGTTAATAACTTTGACATTTACAATTCAATGACATTGATTACATTTCCATATTGTGCCACCATATGGCTATCTTTTCCCCAATCCTGGTGTGGCACTGCTAGGATAAACACCGGACTACAAGGTCCATTTGAACCACAAGGTTGGAGGTTCAAATAAACCAGCCACTCCTTGGAAACCCTATACAGGGTCATTATGAGTTGGAACTAACTCAACTGCACTTAATAACTAACAAAAACTCAATGTCTCCCCCAAAAATCTACCTCTTTCTTCCTCTCTGACCTCAGTCTTGGTAACTATTAAATTTGCTTATTTCATGTAGGTGAGATCAGACAGTATTTGTCATTTTGCAATTGACTTATTTCACTCAGCATGATGTTTTCAAGGTTGGAAACAAAGAGGAAGGATCAGTAGTTGGAAAATATGTCCTCAGTAGTAGAAATGATGCTAGACATCGCATGACAGAATTTTGCAAGACCAATGACTTCCTCATTGCAAATATCTTTTTAAAACAACATAAAAGGTGACTATACAAATGGACCTCACCAGATGGAATACACAGGAATCAAACTGACTACATCTGTGGTTAGTGATGGTGTAAAAGTTCAATATCATCAGCCAAAATGAGGTCAGGGGCAGAATGTGGAACAGACTATCAATTGCTCATATGAAACTTCAGGCTGAAGCTAAAGAAAATTAAAGCAAGCTCATGAGAGCCAAAATATGACCTTAAGCATATCCCACCTGAATTTAGAGATCATCTCAAGAGCAGATTTGATGCATTAGACACTAATGAACAAACACCAGAAGAGTTGTGGGATGACATAAAAAATATACAGGACAAAAGCAACATTAAAAAGACAGGAACCCTGAGCGGCTACAGGAACTGAAGATACTTCTTGAAACAAAGATCAGCAGGACAAAAAGAGAAGAAGCACACTGTTTGGCTGTTATAGGAACAAGCAAGCTGTTCACCTGGGAGCCATCAAGGCAAGAAAAGTCAACCCATCAAGATAAAACCACTTCCAAGACCGAAACTCAAGGAGAACACACGAGCAGGCTTCTAAGCTCACTACTTGTGAGCTTCAGTCTACTTGTGAGTGGAAGTGTGGCAAAGGCAGTAGTGAACACATGGGCTGAGTTCTACCATGTTCCATAGACTCCTGTCAACTTTGAGATGAGAGAAAAAGGACGAAGGACTGGTTGGTCCGAAGTGTGGTGAGACCTGAGGATTCCTAAATCCATGGACAAGGACATAGCCACAGAGGATTAGAGCCAAGAGTGAAGCGTCCAGCTGATATGAAGTGAGGGGAGACTCACAAGAATGCCCCAACTTGCAGATAGTACTCATTTGACCTAGCTTGGATGGCTTGCTGATCAAAACTCGACTAGAGGAAGATAAAGAGGTTTGATGCAGGAAGCAAGTGTAAATTGCTACAATTTGATGATCTTGACCTTTGCTTATGGATGTAGTTGCTCAAAATTCTAACTGAGAGGGAAGGAGTCTTCACATTAAGGATCAAGCCTATCCCCTCAGTACACAGGGTTGATAGGGACAGGCAACTTAGACATTGGCTAACAAAAATGGGGGGGGGGGCTATAAAGGCATGAAATGTCTGGCTTACACATTTTCAAGAGTGTGCTTAGTTTCAGAATGAAGCAGGTTAGGTAGAATCATCTACCTTTCATCTTATCTAGATGGGTCTGGTGAAAAGGGATGGAGGAGGATGGGGATAGGATTCTTTTGATTCAAAAGTGAGTAACTATTATCATGACTAATGGCAATTGTCACAACTGTAAATGGAGAAGATGTGTAACAAAAAGAGGGGCGTAGTTAATCTTTCATTCTAGGAACCAAGGACCCTAAGATCATCAAGAGGGAAGAGTATGAGCAGAGCCTAGGATCCTAACCTGAGAAACAGCGACACCAGAGATGGAGACAGAGGTGATGGCATGGAGAGACAGAACAGCTGAGGACTCTAGACCCATGGAAAGAGTTGGGCTGTGTGCCAGCGGGCAGGCAGCTGACTTGAAAAATATGCCCTTTGATCATTAAAATGAGTATATATTTTCTGTGTGTTTTGTATACATCAGAAAAAAAAAGGAGGAAATAGAGGCAAATACTGTTAACAGATGGTGCATGAAGGGGATTGTAATCATTGCAATGGAACAAAAAATGATTGGTTGAGTGCAAAACTGTTATTTCAATTCACAATAAAAGCTTTTAAAAAAAGAAACAAAGACCAAAATGGATGTCAGAAGAGACTCTAAAACTTGATTTCCGTGTAGAGATGCTAACACGACAGGAAAAAATGAGGAAAGTTTCAAGGGGCAGCTGGAGATGACAAAGTCAAGTATTATAATGAAATGTGCAAAGACCTGGAGTTAGAAAACCCAAAGGGAAGAACATGCTCAGCATGCATAGTCACTGTACCAAAAAGAAACGGTCAATGTGCAACCATGTCAAGAGGTAGCATATGATTAGGACCGATGGTACTAAAGGAAGAAATTCAAGTTGCACTGATGGCACTGGCAAGAAACAAGGCTTCAGGAATTAACAGAAAGCAAACTGAAAAATTTCAACAAACTTTTGGAGGCACTCACTCATCTATGCCAAGAAAGCTAGATGACAGCTACACAGCCAACTGATTGGAAGAGATTCATATTTGTGCCCATTCCAAAGAGACGTGACCCAACAGAATGCAGAAATCATGAAACAATCTCATAAATATCACATGTAAGTAAAATTTTGCTGAACATAATGCAAAAAGTGACAGCAACAATACATCGACAGAGAACTGTCAGAAACTCAAACCAGGTTCAGAAGAGGATGAGGAATGAAGGGTATCATTACTGACATCAAACAGATCTTGTTTGAAAGCAGAGAATGCCAGAAAGATGTTTACTTGTGCTTTATTGACCATGCAAAGGCATTCGACTATGTGTATAATGAGAAGCCATGGATAACATTGCGAAGAATGGGTAATCCAGAACATTTAATTGTACTCATGAGGAACCTGTACATAGACCAAGAGGCAGTTGTTTGAATAGAACAATGGACACTGAATGGTTGAAAATCAGGAAAGGTGTGCATCAGAGTTATATTCTTTCACCATACTCATTCAATCTGTATGTTGAACAAATAATTCAAGAAGCTGGATTAGATATAGAAGAATGTGGCATCAGGATTCGAGGAAGCCTCATTAACAACCTGCAATATGCAATTGATACAAGTAAAATTTGCTGATCATAATTTTAAAAATGGCTGCAAGAGCATATTTCCAGAGAACTGCTAGAAACTCAAGCCAGGTTCTGAAGAGGATGTGGAATGAGGGATATCATTGCTGACATTTGCTGAATGCAAAGAGAACTTACAATACTTGTTGATGAAGACCAAAGTATGGATTGCACCTCAACATAAAGGAACAAAAATCCTCACCACTGGATAAATAAATACTATCATGATAAATGGAGCAAAGATTGAAGTTGTCAAAGACATCATTTTGCTTGGATCAACACTCATGGAGGCAGCAGACAAGAAATCAAATGATAAAACTTCTTTAAAGTTTTCAAGAGCAAAGATGTCAGTTTGAGGACTATAGTGAGCCTGGTATTTTAAATAGTCTTACATATGCATGTGAAAATTGGACAGTGAATAAAGAAGACTGTAAAACGGATGCATTTGAGTTACTATATTGGAGAAGAATATTGAAAATACCATGGACTGCCAAAAGAATAAATAAATCTGACTTGGAAGAAGTGCAGCCAGAATGCTCCTTAGAAGCTAAGGTAGTGAGACTTCCTCTTTCATACTTGGGACGTATATCAGGAGAAACCAGTCCCTGGAAAAGGACATTATGCTTGGAAAGTGGAGGGTCAGTGAAAAAGAGGAGGACTCCCTACAAGATGGATTGACCCAGTGGCAGCAGCAGTGGACTCCAGCATAACAGCAATTGTGAGGATGGTGCAGGACCGGGCAGTGTTTTGTTCTGTTGTGCAAAGGTTCTCTATGAGTTGGAACCAACTTCAGCAACATAGTCCTAGCGTCTGCCATAGGTCACGGCACATAGCTGTTGTTGTTAAGTGCCGTCAAGTCGATTCTGACCCATAGCGACCCTGTATAGGGTTTCCAAGGAGCAGCTGGTGAGCTTGAACTGCCAACCTTCCAGTTCAAATTACTTTGCAGTCTGATGCATCAATCCACAGTGCCACACCCATTTTTCTCCCGCGGAACAGCTGGTAGTTTCGAACTGCTGACCTTAAGGTTCGCAGCCCAATTTGTAACCACTATGCTACCAGAGCTCCTTCTGGCACATAGTATGTGCTCATTAAATATTTGCTGTAAGAATGAATTTGGATGTTTGTCACACAGAGGCCTCAATAGTAAACCAGTGTTATCTGGAAGAGAACACGAGAGTCCCAAGTAAACAAAATCATATTGGTCCTTGACCTCATATCCCTCGTGTCAGATCCCAACATGTCAAAGGAGAAAGGGACCCTGAGAGGGGAGAGGGAGCAA